TCGATAGTTTAAATCTGATATTCGCCCAGTGCCCAACGCAACTCCGAAATGGCCAATAAATGCATTTGCAACACCTCGTAGTTTTGAACTGCATTCTATTTGTTATAGTGCTTGATTCCTGCTGTTGGCGACTTGACAAGGGACTGTCTCGTGTTTTTAAAGGACAGACAGATTTCGAGTTTTGGGTACTTCGTTTTCGATTTTTGGGTGCTTCGTTTTCGAGATTTGGGTGCTTCGTTTTCGAGATTTGGGTGCTCCGTTTTCGAGTTTTGGGTGCTCCGTTTTCGATTTTTGGCTGCTTCGTTTTCGAGTTTTGGGTGCTTCGTTTTCGATTTTTGGGTGCTTCGTTTTCGATTTTTGGGTGCTTCGTTTTCGAGATTTGGGTGCTCCGTTTTCGAGTTTTGGGTGCTCCGTTTTCGATTTTTGGCTGCTTCGTTTTCGAGTTTTGGGTGCTTCGTTTTCGATTTTTGGGTGCTTCGTTTTCGATTTTTGGGTGCTTCGTTTTCGAGATTTGGGTGCTCCGTTTTCGAGTTTTGGGTGCTCCGTTTTCGAGTTTTGGGTGCTTCGTTTTTGAGATTTGGGTGCTTCGTTTTCGAGTTTTGGGTGCTCCGTTTTCGAGTTTTGGGTGCTTCGTTTTCGAGATTTGGGTGCTTCGTTTTCGAGTTTTGGGTGCTTCGTTTTCGAGATTTGGGTGCTCCGTTTTCGAGTTTTGGGTGCTCCGTTTTCGAGTTTTGGCTGCTTCGTTTTCGAGTTTTGGGTGCTTCGTTTTCGATTTTTGGGTGCTTCGTTTTCGAGTTTTGGGTGCTTCGTTTTCGAGTTTTGGGTGCTTCGTTTTCGATTTTTGGGTGCTTCGTTTTCGAGTTTTGGGTGCTTCGTTTTCGAGATTTGGGTGCTCCGTTTTCGAGTTTTGGGTGCTTCGTTTTCGAGATTTGGGTGCTCCGTTTTCGAGTTTTGGGTGCTCCGTTTTCGATTTTTGGCTGCTTCGTTTTCGAGTTTTGGGTGCTTCGTTTTCGATTTTTGGGTGCTTCGTTTTCGATTTTTGGGTGCTTCGTTTTCGAGATTTGGGTGCTTCGTTTTCGATTTTTGGGTGCTTCGTTTTCGATTTTTGGGTGCTTCGTTTTCGAGATTTGGGTGCTCCGTTTTCGAGTTTTGGGTGCTCCGTTTTCGAGTTTTGGGTGCTCCGTTTTCGAGATTTGGGTGCTCCGTTTTCGAGTTTTGGGTGCTCCGTTTTCGAGATTTGGGTGCTCCGTTTTCGAGATTTGGGTGCTCCGTTTTTGAGATTTGGGTGCTCCGTTTTCGAGTTTTGGGTGCTCCGTTTTCGAGATTTGGATGCTCCGTTTTCGAGTTTTGGGTGCTCCGTTTTCGAGATTTGGGTGCTCCGTTTTCGAGTTTTGGGTGCTCCGTTTTCGAGTTTTGGCTGCTTCGTTTTCGATTTTTGGGTGCTTCGTTTTCGAGATTTGGGTGCTCCGTTTTCGAGTTTTGGGTGCTCCGTTTTCGAGTTTTGGGTGCTCCGTTTTCGAGATTTGGGTGCTCCGTTTTTGAGATTTGGGTGCTCCGTTTTCGAGTTTTGGGTGCTCCGTTTTCGAGTTTTGGGTGCTCCGTTTTCGAGTTTTGGGTGCTCCGTTTTCGAGATTTGGGTGCTCCGTTTTCGAGATTTGGGTGCTCCGTTTTCGAGTTTTGGGTGCTCCGTTTTCGATTTTTGGCTGCTTCGTTTTCGATTTTTGGGTGCTCCGTTTTCGAGATTTGGGTGCTCCGTTTTCGAGTTTTGGGTGCTCCGTTTTCGAGTTTTGGGTGCTCCGTTTTCGATTTTTGGCTGCTTCGTTTTCGATTTTTGGGTGCTCCGTTTTCGAGATTTGGGTGCTCCGTTTTCGAGTTTTGGGTGCTCCGTTTTCGAGATTTGGGTGCTCCGTTTTCGAGATTTGGGTGCTTCGTTTTCGAGATTTGGGTGCTCCGTTTTCGAGATTTGGGTGCTCCGTTTTCGAGATTTGGGTGCTCCGTTTTTGAGATTTGGGTGCTCCGTTTTCGAGTTTTGGGTGCTCCGTTTTCGAGTTTTGGGTGCTTCGTTTTTGAGATTTGGGTGCTTCCTGCTTCGGTCTTCGTTTTCGAGTGCTTCGTTTTCGAAACTACCCTCTTCTCTTAGACTTTCGTTGCGGGATTCAAGCTCTTGAAGCCTAATGTTAAGTAGATTATTTTCCTCCCAAAGAGATGCAATGGTTTCGTTTGAATATGATGTGCTTGCCTCTTGCTTAAGTTTTTCGATTTCAAGACGACAAACCTCTTTTACCTTGATCTCGATAAAGGAATATATATCATCCACTCTCGGGTTATCTTGGCCATTGGCAGGACTTTCGATTTGAGAAAACGTCGTGTCGGTTTCAATTGTTTGCGAGCCTAGCTTTTCCGATACAATGGCGTCGCGAATTCGCTGCACTAGGGTACATTTGTTAAAAACTAAAACTTGCTTGAATTTCTGTAACCTTGACGGCGACACCAGGAAAAG